AAAAGGCAGCTGATCGATGTTTCTGGCTCTCTATCCCTCCCCCTTCCTCTCTGTAAAAAATCAATAAAATATATTTAAAAAAAAAAGAAATTTCTTTTGAGAGACAAATTTTTTAAACTTAAACTATATAGATAGGTACATTGTTATTAACTTAATTAGGGTACTCCTAAGGCTTAGAAAGAGCCACATTCAAGGGGCCAAAGAGCCGCATGTGGCTCGCGAGCCGCAGTTTACCAACCACGCCATAGGGGATGTAGTCAGTAATAATGTAATAACTATGTGTGGTGCCAGGTGGGGACTGGGAATATCGGAGGGAACACTGTAAGGTATATGATTGTCTAACCAGCCAGTATGTTGTACACCTGAAACTAATACAAAATAATATTGAATGTAAACAATAAATGAAAAAAAAATTCCGAAAAGGTGTTGTTAAAAAATTAATCTGTGACACATAGTTACAACCAACCACAGCTACCGTGTCTGAGCACCACGCCCTTCTTCCCAGGCCTCGCACCCCCAGGCAGCGCAGGCTGCGGCACTGACACTGTCCCTTCACTGATGTGGCCCTAGGTCACTTCTCCTGCAACCTCCCGGGAGGAGCCAGTTCTGCCCGACCACCCCGACCCCGGCCTACCACCTCCCTCCACGTGAGTCTGTGCTGTAATCCCCGACTGAGAAACCTTCTCACGGGAAAACACTGCCATCTGCGCCTGGTTAGATGACGGAAAGGACTGGTTTAAGGGACAAATCGTGAAAATGACACATACATCCCCTTTGACCCAGAAGCGAGACTCCTTCCTTGAGAAACCTCAAATGGAGTTTTTTGTTTTCTTTACATCAAACCAACCCGAGGTTTTTCAGTATTTGGAGTATAATTATATATATATATATATTTCAGAGCGGAAAGGAGATGGAAACATCAATGACGAGAATCATTGATTGGCTGCCTCCTGCACACCCCCCACTAGGGATCGAGCCCACAACCCAGGCATGTGTCTTGACCAGGAATCGAACCATAACCTCTGGGTTCATAGGTTGACGCTCAAGCACTGAGCCACGCTGGTCGGGCAGTGTTTGGAGTGAGAGCTTAGACACTTGGCGTGGGAATGGGGAATCCTCAAGCACTTCCGGCCATGTCCCCACCCCCCTCCCCTAAATCTTCTCAGCAGTCTTGTTCAGTAGCATTTTGAGGAGGTGGTGGCAATACACCTTTATCGTTTCTCTCCAAGGTATCCGTTCATTTCAATCCTACTTCACTGGTTAACTAAGTCACATCATCACAGCATGGAGCTCAGCTGGCGCGAACGGCTTGGGCACACATGACTGCCCGCTGGTGGGCAGGCTGCTGTGGACGGCGAGTGGTGAGTGTCACCACAGCTCAAGTAGCAGACAAGCTGGTGGAGAGACAGGGAGTGTCAAAGAGGGCCACCTTGCAGACAGCTGGCTCCCACACTCACCCTGATGTGTTTGTCACGTTCGTGCTGTCCCAGCAGAGACCCTGAAGGGCTGGCCAGCAGGATGGCACACAGCCATTCGGTCAGTCCCGTTGTCAGAGCTCATGATGGTCTCCCTTTGCTGAGCTGAAGGTTGAACCGGGAACGCCAGGTCCTTGGAAATGGAGAATGTATGAAACGCCTTCCTTTGTGCACCCTCGGCTGGAAGCCGTGGGGGAGTGTCAGCCCTGCTCCCAGGACATGGCATTCCCTTGGGAAAACCGATACGGACCTACCAACGTTTTTGAGAAGCCACCAGGTACCACTTGCCCGCATACATGAGCTGGTTCCGACCCAGGATAACTGACGTGCACATACTGCAGATTTCATTTCTGCCACAGTCCCTCACGGTTGTGTCACTGTTGGCCCCATTTCCACCGGGGCAAACTGAGGCACTGGCAGGGGAACGAAGCTGCACGGCTAGCGAAGGGCAGATTCCGGAATGTCCTGGAGGGACTCCATACAGGAAGCGCTGGGTCCGGAGGGTGACTTCTGGTCATCCTCTCAGATCTTTTCCGCATTTCCCAATCCCCCTCCTCTGGATTTAAATTCTCTCCTGGGACCGAGCCCCCGGGCTGCCAGCCACCGTCCAGTAGAAAGAAACACACTGCAACACTTCTGAAAATCAGCCCTTTAATCTATTTGAACCCAACGAGTGGGGAAAGAACGGACACATTTCCCCCCCTTGAGATGTCTGTTTATAATAATGGGTCTGAGGTGTGTCTTCCATAGGAACCCGACATCCCCTACGTCCTCACGAGTGTTGTTTCTTTAAATGCATCGAAGTGGAATTTCGAGGCCTGTGCACCCCACACATTTCCTCGCCTGACCCGCCCACCCTCTAAAGGGACTCTTTTTGTCGCTGGGGAACAGAATGTAAAAAAAAAAAAAAAAAAAGATATCCATCTAAGTGGCCAGAGAGACCAGAAATAACCAAATGCACATCAGTCAACACATATGCAAGCGGGGAAGCTGTCCTACTGGAATCCGGAGCCAGCCATTACCAATGGCAGAGACTCCAGCTATCTAGACAGATAAGTTACAACTCCTTCTCCCGCACGCCGCCCCTTAATCACAAGCCACCCCTTAATCACAAAAGTATGCAAACAATCTTGATCTAAATGGGAAGCCGGCAATGGCTCTCCCTGGGACAGGGCATACCTGAAATTCCCGGGTGGACGTGCGCCTGGACCCATGTGCCTCCCTTTTAGGACTAAAGGGAAAGGGGTAGGGTCCCACCTCAGGAGCAAGTGGGGGGACAATGGAGCTGCCCCAGGGACCAGGAACGTGCTGGTGTGTGGCCAGCCCCTGGGAAGCTCAGGGGCAAGGGGCCTAAACTGAGGGCTGCAGAGAGGGCGGGGCCGGTGCCCCTCGGGAGCCGGGAGCCGGGAGGTGGCCGTCCAGACGGGGGAGGGGGTGGGTCAGCGTTGCTTCCCCCACCTAAGGCCTTGGGACTGATGGCAGCCGCTGGGAGAGGCCGAGACATGACTGTTTTAGGGCCGCAGCGAAAGAGGCTCCCCGCCTGCCACAGCGCACAAACCCTGTCTGGTTCTCGAAGGGTGATTCCCAGTCACAACCAGCCCCTCCGCCTGGAGATGCTGCTGTCACACAGCAGGGGCTGAGGCACATTGGTGGTGGTGGTGGTGGGGTCCAGAGGGACACGGTGAACTGAGGAAGGGAGCCCACCACCGCCCCGTGACTGGGCATCTGCTCCTCGGGAGAGAGAGAAAGGCGTGGGGGTGAGGCCTCGCGGCCCGGGCTCTGGGCCAGGCAGGAGAGGATGCGGCCGAAGCCAGGGCTCCCCCTGCAGCGCCGCATCTCTGGTGGTGGTGGTGGAAGTACCATCCTTTGTTGAAGGCGCCAGGTGGGGGGTACCTCTGGGCAGCCTGGTCCAGAGCCGAGTCCAGGCCTGCGGGTGGCTGCCCAAGGGGGAAACCAAGGGACTCGTGCGTTCCAGAGGTGGGGGCTTGAGAGATTGTCAAAGCCTGGCTGAGAGCTGGTCGACAGGGATTCTGGGCTGGTCCCACAGCCCTCCCAGGAGTGGTCCCCAACATCCCCGAGCACCCCTTGCCTGACTCTGGTCTTGGGGGTCCCCAGGGGAAAGGGCACCACAACTTCAGGCAGCGTAATTCGTCTAACATTAAGCACGGGGAAGAGAGGTAGCTGCGGAGCCATGAGCCACCTGCTACCTCCCCCCACCCCCACTTTGGGATGCAGCCAGATCCTGGGCCAGACAGAGGGCAGGAGGAGACGGGGCGCTGGAGGCGGGGCTGGCGGTCGCCCTGGGTCCTCGCCGGCCGGGCGGGCAGGTGGTCAGTGCATCTTGCCCAGCTGGATCTTCTTCCAGGCCTCCGAGGCTGTGAAGATACACGAGTCCAGAATGCCAGCTACCGTGAAGGTCCCGCCGATGATGGCACAGATCTGAAAGCGGGGGAGGTCAGAGGTCAGCGCTGCAGGGAGTCCCGGGCCAGTCCCCGTCCACATCACAGGACAGTGAGCTCAGCAAGCACAGTCGCTCTGCCCCATTACACCCTCCCCACGGCAATCCGCGGGGTCTGGAACACACTCGGGGCTCAAAAAGCCCACCTGTTGGATGATGAGGTTAATCCTAATAATAAAAGTAATCAGCGGCAGCTCCTTAAATTCCCATGTTAACCTTCTGAGTGAGGAAGGGGATTAGTGGACCCATTTCACAGGCAAGGAAACTGAGGCTTAGTTAGGTAACTGCGCTGACTTGAACTCAGGTATGGCTGGACCCTGGAGCCTGTGGTCTTCTCTAATTGATCAGCGATTTACAATCCCACTTGCAGATGAAGGAAAGGAGGTTCGGAAAAGTGGCAGCACTGGCCCAAGGTCACACAGCCAGCAAGTGGCAATCCTGGGACTTGAACCCGTGTCTGACAGGTCCGGGCGCAGCGCTGCCTGTGACTGAGAGCTGGGGTGGGCTGCAGAGGCAGCAGCGAGAAGCACATCTCTCTCTCACAAGCTGGCACACGACCAGTGGGATGGGTAGTCATCAGATAATCATCCTGATAAATGCAAAATTATAACCAAGGCCACGAGGGGGGCAGGGGGCGTGGTGCTATTCGGCGGAGTGGCTCAGGGCACTATTTACTTTTGGGACCAGATAAGTCACCGTGAGGCCGTCCTGTGCACGGAAGGATACTTGGCACCATCCCGGGCCTCCACCCACAAGATGCCAGGAGTAACTTCTCCCTGTTGTGACAACTAAAATGTCTCCAGACATGGTCCAATGTCCCCTGGAGCTCAAAGCTGCTCCCGATTAAGAACTGCTACAGTAGGGGGATGACCATGAATGTCACCTGTATGTCTGTACTCCAGAACTTCCTGCCACATGACGGCCACAACAAAACAGACAGCGCTGGCACCGCGCCTTCCCTGTGCCGGGCACGGTCCGGGGGGGTTCATGCCTCCCATCACAGAACCCCCGGTCAATCCAATGAGCTAAGTAGAATTCTTACGCCTACTTTATAGCCAAGGAAACCGAGGCACAGAGACACCAAATCACTTGTCTAAAGCCACAGTGACTAGTGGCCGCACAGGGACACAAAACTTTGTGGAGTCTGTCTCTGAACCCCGCACGCTGCCTCTCAGGCACGAAATGTGCCCTCAGCTGACTTCCTCCCTTCGCTGTGAGGTTGTCGAAACTGTGCGACTCGGAATTTTCTGACCTACCTATGAGTTGCTTTTTGGTGCCAAAAGAGAATCAGAGAATGCATGATGGAAAAGAAAAGTTCACAGAAGGTTTGCAAGAGAACTTTAAATGCATTTCCCTCTTGCAAACAAACCTTACGCTGTTCACAAGAACCAATACCACCCTCCACCCGTGTGCCTGGGGGAGGCACCTCTTCACTCATGTACCCATGTGGCCCAGAGAGGGCGATCACCTGTCCAAGGCCACACAGTAAGTGTGAGTCTGTCTGCCCCCAGAGCTCTCACGCGCCCCCACATGCTGGGCAGCCCAAGGGGGCCCCTGAGCCTGCCTGGAAGGCACCCCTGGGGGGCCGGCCAGCATGACACTCGGCCACTGGAGGACTCTGGGAGAGGGCAGCCTTAACGGACCCTCCGGTGCCCAGTGGAGGTGGCCAGGAGACACGGCGGAGGCGAGAGGGAAGTGTGGATCGAACCAGCATTTATTTTTAAAATGATATTTCTACGAGATGAGCTCAGCGGAGGCCCGAGGCCCCGGCAGACAGAGCGGGTCTGTGGGATGGGCTGGAAGTGGGGCAGCTGGCATTCCAGTAATAACAGCCCAGCAACCGGAGCGGCCCCAGGGAGCGCAGAGGCTGGGGGCGCTGGGGGATGATCGTGGAGCGCTTGGCAGGCACGGCCCCTCCCTGCCAGCCCCCGAGCATGACGAAGGGGCACTTTCCGAGGCCGATGACGGCAGGGAGCTGGCTTATTTCGGTAGAGTGGGTCAGATGATGGGAGATTTTAGACCACAAAATGCTTTTAGAGCTTGGATCGGAGGATAGGAAAATGTGACTTAAGTGCAACGGAGCAAATAATGAAAAAATGAAAAATAACCACACACACATCTATATTCATCTACACCCTCTGGACCCCGAGCGCAGCCGTGATTCACACACACCTGGCGCCCAGTCTGGAGGCTCCTTTCACTGGGCGGCCCGGAGCAGCAGACAACACACGCATTGAGGTACATGGGGAAACACGGCCGTGGGGAAACTGAGGCCCTGGGCGCTAGGCCCTGCGGAGGCCCTGCCATGAGTCCAGTGAACCCACGGATGCCCCCAGCTCAGCAGCATGTCCCCGCGACCCTACATCTGCCGAAGGTGCTGGTCACTGGCCAGCTGAGGAGGGGAAATCTGGACACTTTTTTGCGGGGGCCGGGGAGCTCAAAAGCTGAAAGAAATCTAACACCCCCCTGATGCTGCCACAGCCCCCGACTAGCTCACCCACAGGTTATGACTGGTGTGAACGGGGCTGGGAAGGGTCCCGGGGGCTCTCAGGCCATGGTGGCCCTGGATGCTGCCATCTGGGTGGACAGAGAATCCCAGCACCAGGTTACCACCTCTGGACTCGCCCAGGGAAGTGGTCAGTCATGGTCAGCCCTGGTCCTGAGAAGGTCACGGGGAAATTAACGGAGCCACGAGGCTGCACGGAGGGTATGCGTGTCCTTGGACTCAGGCCCTACATGGTGGTGGCGAGATTACAGGCTTCCTTCGTGATTCCGTGGCTGATGGGGGGGTGACCAGCCACAGACGTGAGGAGGCCGACGCACACACCCCGATGGGAGATGTGCAGGAGGCAGCTGATCGATGTTTCTCTCTCATCGGTGTTTCTAACTATCTCTCTCCCTTCCTCTCTGTAAAAAATCAATAAAATATATTTTTTAAAAAAAGATACTCAAGAGAGGGCAGGCGACGGGGGGCGCGGAGACACGGCATCTCCCTGACCGGCGGGGACAGGCCCAGGGTGAATACAAGTGACAATAAAGCGAATCATGGTCGCGACACCCAGTTCCCACAGCCCGTCGCTCTGCACGCAGAAGAACGAGGAGAACCGGGCCTCCGTGGACACAGGGGCTGGGAGGCGGGACCCTCCTCGCCGGACGTGGTGAAGGTGGACTGGGCAGAGTGGGGGTGAGGTAAGGACTGGGAAGTCCACTGGGACCATCCCCACTGTGACAGCAGAAAGAGCTGGTGGCTTCTGGAAGAGGAGTGCTGGCTGTCACTTACTCTGGCCATAGGAGAGCCTTTCTGGGCCTCAGTCTTTTCATCTACAAAATGGGAAGACGACCCCTACCTTGCAACTGTTGCACTGCAGGAAAAGCCTCTGGAGCTCCTAGCACTTAGTAGGTGCTCAGTAAAGGATCCCCTTTCGGTTGACCGAAAGGCTCCAGCCTTGTCGCTAGGGCTGAGATTTTGTAAACCTCCCTAAGAACAACAATGGATCAAACATCTCGTATCCCCCAGGTCAGGCCTTGGGGTCTCCATTTCTGTTTCCCACCTGGCTCTCTAAAGGAGCGGAGCATGTCAATTCAGGGAAAGCTAGGCCAGCACAGGCAGACAGGCAGATTCTCTGCAGCTGCCTGGGCCCCATGCACCCGGAGGACCCATTCTACAGTTGGGGGAGCTGAGGTGGAGACAGGGTGTTTCCCCAGGGAAGTGCCAAGAAGTGTTTGTGCTGAACAGCGCTGGTTAGGACAAAGCACCCTAGCCCTCAGGGAGCGTCCATTCTTTGGCCCACCTCAACCCCACCGCGCAAAAGCCCGGGACGGGAGACAGCCGAAGCACTGACACGCAGTAGGCACTGAGTACACGTTCACTGAGCAGGTCAAGCAGTGACTGAGTGGGAGAGCGAACGGACGAATGAACAAATGAATGACGTGCTCAGAAACGGAGCAGGATTCCCAGGGGACAAGGGTGGCTCTCTCACAGGGTGGAGGCGATTCAGGGTGGTCGGGGCCCCTCCCGCCGCATGCTCTTGTGTCAGCCAAGTGCCCCGTGCCTCAGTTTCCCTACTTTTACAGATGGGAAGGCTAATCCTCACTGGCCAGGACTGCTGTGGGATTGAGTGAGCGTCCGTGCCAGCCTTGAATGCCTGTTCCCTTGGTCCCTCATTGCTGCCAGGCTTTGTACCTCCCGGCCAGGCCAAGGACAGTGGGACAACCTCTGTGTGTGTAGGGGGGCTGGAGGGGATGGGGACGGGGGTGAAGAAGCAGGGCCACTGAGTCAGGAAGGGCCGCCACAGCCAGCACCTGCAAACTCCTCGGGTCAGCAGCCCCAGCTCCAGACCCAGAAACAAGGACCATTCGATCGCCAGGCCCCAGAGAGTCTGAGACCAGCGCTGCGCTCAGCTTCTGGCAGCGTCATCACTAACACCCCTCCGTTCCCGGGGGCCTCCTCCCTGCGGCCGCCAGCTTCCCGGCCGCCTCTGGCCAGAATGAAGTCAGCTCGTCTACCTTGAAAAGAAGGTGTGTGTGTGTGTGTTTCCCTCTCGTTTTAACTACGGCTCTTAATTCCTTATACTATGGAAAGGCCGTGTTCCAACCGCACTGGCTGGGGCTGAATCCCTCCCTTGTCCCACCAGCACCAA